AGACTTTGGAGTAGTTCTTCTACAAACAAAAAGTTAGTAATAGATTCTTTTTCTTTTGTAGAACATCGAATGCATGTTTTTCAAAAACCTCCTATCCTGAACAACTGTCTAAAGATTACAAAACTAATTTCGAACGATATCAAATTCAACCTTTTCTATTTCAAAAAACAGACTATCACACGATTTCCATAGGTATTTATCGATAGCCATTATCTGATTTTGTCTTATAACTTGCGTCTATTGTCTAATCAATCGTGGGACCAGACACAAAATTCAATTTTCTTTCAAATGAAGAGCATTTAGCAAACGGTTGCAGTATCATTTGAAAGTGATGATTTTAGATCCTTTCTTTTGTCGCAATTTTTGTCTGTGTGATACTCGCGATGAGCAGCGGACTACAGTGAGAAAACTACACGTGTGTCACAACAAGAACTTGATTACGCTAACATCTTTTTTTTTTCATATCAATTTTATTAATATTTTGTTGTTCTATTTGTACCAACCTTTGAAAGTATTACTGAAAGAATTTAAAAAATAGTAGCATATATTGTGCTCACAACAAAGAATAGCAGTTGACATATGAGCAACTATTTTAAGAATAAGCTTCTCATATGATTCAAATAATACAAAAATATGCGATAATTTAAACAAATGTCTGACATAGGCTTTTTCTTTTTGATCTAAATATTTAACAGATGGAAATAAAAATAATTGTTATTAATTAGTTTATTCAATCGTTTTTTGGTCTTTTGATAAACGAAAATCTCATAGAAAATTCCATGTGATTAATGTCGTTCGATATTTTTATATTTTCAACATGGTCGAACTATTTTTTCTTGACACTCAAGGTTCTTTGTTAAAAAACACGTGAAGCAAGAAAAAAATAAAATATTGCTACTCATAAAATAAACGTTTTTTGTCTTGTCATTTTCTTTTCTACAGAACAATACAGACAGTTTTGAAATGTGATGATAACACACTCTGATTAATTAATACATATGTTGCAATATACGACTAAATATAATTATTCATGATAAGTATTATTCAACAGAACAATTTCTAGTATCGAGGAGATATTTATTGATTCATTATGTTGATTTTCTATTGTATGAGTTGCTATAGATAAACTACTCGACAAAAATTGAAGTGAATAATCGCAATAAAAATTTTTAAAAGATCTTTTAATTATGTTTAGCAGCATGTGACACTTAAATAATATCTCATTGTTTGGTTTTTATGACATGTATTCCAGTCGATAAGTTTCAAAAAACAAAGTTCTAATGGTAAACATACTATATCTTGATTAAAAGTAAAGAATGCAATTTTTGCCGTTCAACTTTTGAGAATCAGCAGGTTAAAATATGAGTGTGAATGAATTGCACGACAAATGTGTTAGATTTTACTTTGTGTATCGCACTTGGTTGATTGAAATTAACAATTAAAGATTAGTATTCCGAATATGATTAATACTTAATATGAAAATTTTAATAGACGAAATACTTATTTGTCTACTTCTCATGAGTTATTTCGATAGTAATTGAATTTTAAAAGAACTTTATCATACATTTACTTTGTTATTCAAAAGCCTGCTTATGAAAATTGAAGCAGAATAAATTATATCTTATCATTATCATCAGACTATCTCAATCAAGTCCAATTCATTCTCTTAGATCATGATTATTCATTATTTATTATGACATATTTCCAGTATAAATAGATACACGCAGAAACAGTACAAGCTGAACACACGAATTATTTTTGAAAAGTTCTATTGTATTGTTAACCACTATATCCTTCATCAAACTAAATGAATAGCTTATTTCTAAATCGATATATAAAATTCTAGTATGTTAATAAATGAGACTAAAAAATATATCAATATTCTTACAACAGTTTTAAGTTTATCTCTTTTTCCGGAATAAAATCTAACATTTTATACAAGAAAAAAAACATTGAAATCAAAAAATTATTATTTTGCACTATAACAGTCAGCCACTTAGTCGTAGTCTGTAGTATAGAATAAGGATATCATCTTACAAAAAACAAATTCAGAAGATAACTAATGAATAATTTTTCTTGTTTTATATGCAATTTAATTTTGAACTTTTTTGATTTCAACAAGGGTTCAAGGAAAAACACACTGTTACAGTATTATCGAAGTGGTTGGTCAAATAGATATTTGTTTACTCGCCTTGCGTAAGTTTTTTTATTTATTTTAAGACAACGCGCATATCTACAAAAGGAAAAAACAGAAAATATAGAAGGAAGGTGGTGAGTTTTCGGTTTATTCTTATCTGTGCGAGAGGAGATATTGCGAAGAAAAACTTATGAAATTTCTCTGCAATGAGGAAACAACGCAGTTCAAGTCGAATAGATCAAAGAAAAGAGAAGAGAGAAAAAAAAACAATTAGGGTGAGGAAAAAACAGTTTCAACCAAAACAAAATAAAAAAAAAACTGAAAATAACATGAAAAAAAGAAAGAGGGAAAGAAGGAGAAATACAATATATTCCAAATGTGGGTGTGGGTGAGTCTGGGTCTTATGTTCTCTTCGCCTGCATTTACGCCCACCTACACCCGTCATATACGTGGGACTTCTTTATTCATGCCTATCCATAGCCGCATCTCATATCACCACCGGCATCCACACCCCGAACACGCACACATCCTCGAAACGGTAACTTGCGGAACTAAATATTGAGTCTGAAGTCTATGAATAGAATAATCTGTCTCTGTCAATAAATCAGTTCCTGTTATATGGAAGACAAATAAGTTGTACAATCTTGACAGAATTATTGGAATGATCGTAGTCTATTCAAAAGTGTATCAACCCATAGCTTCATGTGATATTAATTTTACGTAAGTTGTGGAAAGTACAGTGTGATAAATTGCGTGTAGAAAAATGAATCAGAAAAGAATCAACACCCGTCAAAGTGTAGGTCGAGTCTGACCTCGTGTCGAGTCTAGTCGGGTTGCAGCCTCCTTCCTAGCCAATCAAATACCAAATCACACAATCGCGAAGCATTTGTTGTGAGTTCGTTTATTCTTTCACCCACTCACACCCTCAAATAGTTTTAATATCGTCAAATAATAAAAAAAAATAAAGTTTCTAGTGTCCACAACAAAAGCATGTTCGTTTAATATGAACATAATAACTTTTCATTGCTCTATAGAATTCATTTGTATATAGTTCTGACGGAAAAATAAAAATGACATATGTTGTCAGTGATGATACGTGTACAAACGATAGAAAATATCCAACAAAATATAATCACGGATCACATTCTGATTTCATGGAGCTGCTAAAATATGAAATAATAAGACATGGCAATAGAAATAAAAATAATAAACAGGGACTGATGATTAAAGCTTTGTGTTGTTGACATTGCTCTTTTAAATGTCAACGATAAGATTTATGTCTATATGATACACTCCGTTTACGTGCTGCTTTTAGAATAACAATAAATACAGATAAAAAATTAATTGTGAATGGTATGATAAAATGTGAAATATTAAGATCCATATTCATACTATTTAACCACGGTCGATGAGTATAACTAATAACACACCATGTACGTTGTTCCTCTTCATCAGATATCAGACGACGATTCCATGGGTCATGCATGGCACTACCAATCGTCAATAGAATAACAATGACTGAAATAATTTTTGATGTTGCTACACTTCTTACTTTATTGAATTTCACACCTAATATTAATATTAATAGCACGTTCAGTAGCAACACATGCATTCAACCAATCAGTAGTCATCGGTAAAAATTTTAAAAAGAATTCAATCATTTTACAATTTACGATGAGAAATGTTTGATTCGTCACTAGAGCTATTTGAGTTACCAATAAACCCCACAATTTTAATGCAAACATTATTGTTATTAATAGAGAACAGATAGATGAGAAAAGAAGATAGATACCACAGCTAACTTCCAACGTTTTCTTTTGTGTAAACGTAATAATTGAGAAAATATTTAAAATAAAATCTAATACGAACATGATCACTGTTAGATGTATACTTAATTTAATGATGAATGATTGTTGACTGATTGCAACACGTGACTGTGTATGAGTACCAATAATTGAATCTAATGATAGTACATAATCACTAGTTGTTAGCTGACATCTGGTACGATAATAACATTCTTTGCACAAACATATTGATTTTCTTCGACATATATTATTGTCTTGAAAACATTGATCATTATGTTCACAATAACTACCATAACTGATACATTCGTATGACATACTGTGATTAAATTTATAACAAATGGTTGTATGATATTTATTGTAACACAGACACATTTGTGTTTGATCATAGAAACAACGAAGGTTATAGTTTTGTTGACATGGTTCATGGTAAAATTTTAATTGTT